CCCCCCCCCCCCCCCCCCCCCCCCCGTTGGCAGCTGCGCTCGCCCAAGAAGCTTTACTGGCTGAGAGGCCCGGAGGCGATCACCGTCTCATAGGATATAACCTCCCTTCCCCAGTGAAGCGCCGGCCCCTGAGGGTGCTGGTGCTAATCAGCCACTGCTATGAGCAGTAGCAGTAGCTCCAGCAGCAGCGGGAAGACTCGCTTCGGGATGCCCAGGCGGCTCCGACTCGGATGGTCCCGTGAGTCAGATTGATGCCCCGGATCCCGTCGGAATGCTTCTGTTTTTGTGCTAACCTGGTGACATGTGATCTCAAAGGGTTCTTGCCGTTCCTGGGTTACCACCACGTGCTCATGATTCTCATTGCCGTTGCCATCATCCTGCTATGTGAGTTGCTTCGATACGAACGGAGACGACGGAAGGATCCGATAGAGAACAGACGAGACTGACAAAACACAGCATTGCTTCTCGCCGGATGCTCCTCCTCCTCGCCCCTGATCCCCTCCATCTTCCTCCTCTCCCTCTACTACAAGGGCTACGAGGCCACCCCCGACACCGCTCAGGTCGACTACAACGTCCACACCGCCATCGCCAACATTGCCGGAGACGCCCATCTGCAGGCCCGAGTCGGCTACTTTGGCATCTGCATCAACCCCGACGGAGGATCCTGGCTGTGCAGTAACAATGCCACGGCCCTGGCCAACGAGGTGGCGGTGGACCAGGACCCTCTCAACCTCATCTGGTTGGCAGCTCAGTTCAAGGATATGATTGTCTTTCCCTATCTCATGTGAGTTGTCCTCCCCGCTCTGCTCCGACGTCCTGTGGAGACCACATTACCCTCTGCTGCCTCGACACCGTCCGCCCGACAAGCTCACACACAGATGCTGACTATACCCCACAGCATCATTGCCATCATCTTCGCCTTTGTCTGCTTCATCCTCCTAGCCACGTTTCCCGGTTGGCACGAGGAGGAAGATTCCGAGGGCTCCGAGCGCGACGTCAAGCCATTTCCCTCGCGTCCGGTATCGCAGGTCTCCCTCGCCATCATCTTCGTCGCCTCCATCTTCATCCTAGTGTCGGTCCTGTGGCAGCACACAGCATCGGTAGCCGCATCCGTCATTGCCCAAGATTTCGGAAACGGTTCGGTCAAGTCGGGCGTCGGGACCAGCGCAATGGTCATGGGATGGTTCTCGTTCACCCTCCTGATCATCGTCACCATCGGTCTCCTCGTCATGATATTGAGTATCCGCGTGCTAAGTCAAATGGCTTAACAAGACACGGACATTTTTTCTTCCTTTTCAAAAAGAGATATGACGAATGGCATGAAACAAGAACAAGATTTCTTGGGGGGTAAAAAAAGGGAGGATGGATAATGCCGTCTCAACATGTGTATATGGAAGACTTTGAGACTGAAGGGTAATGACACGAATATTTTCTTTCCTTTTCTCTATTCCTTCTTCTTCTCTTGCAGCACCGGAGTTCTTGATATTTATTTCTTTATCATTCTTTTTCCTCTTCTTTTTTTCTTTTTCTTTTTCCTGTTTGACTCCGTGGCGTTTATGATTGCTTTACAAGAACAAACGCTCTAGGTTTCAATTGTCACGGTACATGTTATGGAAGAAAGAGATATATGGTTTCTACGTCTAGGGAGGAATTCGACTCTCTCTTCTCTGATGAGAATGGAAGGGGATTTGTTTCATTGCATTTGGAGACGAAAGACATGTTGCGCGCTTGGACTGTAAATTAGATAAAATCAACATTAGTATGCACATATTGTTGTATTGTGCCTTTGTCCCGTGTAGATGTCATCATGACGACCAAGTGAATGCCTCAAAGATGAATGGAAGATACTTTATGTAGTGATACAAGTATAACTAAGTATACACCATACAAGACAAGAAAATTCCGTATGAATATATCCCAAGGCAAGACAAAAAAGAAAGAGTCAACCAAGCAAGCTGCCAACTGATGAGTGCAGCAGTGGAAATTAAAACAGATTGTATGATATAATTACAGCCCAGTCAATTCTCATCATGACGGCGAATTTGAGCAAAAATAATGATAACCCCCCTCCCTCAAAAAAAAAGGGACATTGTAATCTATGCAGTAGAAGCGAAAGCAGGCCTTTTGAAGGGATGAGCCTCAGTGTTGAGGACCCAGTCATCGAGACTGATGACGTCTGGCTCAGAAAAGAGTAGGTAGTAGTACTTGAGCGTCTCGGCGATCCAGAAGCTCTCCATCTCGTCACGGAGGGAGGGGACCTCGTCCGTCACGTCGTCGACTGCGCTGTTGGCAAGCTCGGTCCGGGAGGCTCGCACCGTGGCGTCGAACATTGTCCAGCCCTTGTCCATCCAAGTGGCGTCGCCTGTGATGCGGTACATGTACCAGACTGATTCAATGGCTTCGGGTCTGTGGTGGTGTCAGTGTGTGTGTGCTTGGGAGAGAGAGAGAGAGAGAGAGAGAGAGAAAAGAGAAAAGAGAGAGGAAAAAGGAACATACCTCAGGAGATAGTTGGTCCTGTCGAGCTCGGTGAAACCGGGGGGAAGCCCTTCACGTCTGATACGGGCCTCGGCGTACTCCTCGTGAGTCAGAGGCCTGTCGCCGTCAAAGTCGGTATCATAGTCCTTTGTCTTGGACGATGTTCGCTCAGGAGGGGTGAATTTGGGCACAGACTTGATGGAAGAGTCCGAGGTGTCCTTTGAAGAGTCCGAGGTGTCCTTTGAAGAGTCCGAGGTGTCCTTTGAAGAGTCCGAGGTGTCCTTTGAAGAGTCCGAGGTGTCTTTGGAATAGGTGGAGGTGTCCTTGGAAGAGTCCTGGGAAGAAGGGAAAGCGTCCTTGGGGGATGAAGCCTCCTCGGTCCCACCCGTGCTGATCTTCTTCTTCAGCGAGTCGGGAATCTCAGACGCCTTGTCGTCGATATCCTTGGATGACGGAGGCAGCACAGCAGCCCTCTTGTCGAGGCCGTCCGACTTCATCGACTTGTCCGTCGACTTGACGGATGACTTGCCCGACGACTTGCCCGAGGAAGGAGAAGACACCGACGTCAGATCGGCATCCTCGTCTGTGCCGTACTGGTCGGCAGCATCCTGCAGCTTCTCGGCCTCCTTGATCTTGTCGGGATCGCTGCTCCCACCAGACGAGCTGGTCTTGTCGGCCATCTCCGAGATGATGTCCAGGTCTGGAGCGCCGATGGCACCGGCCAGGACCTCGGACGGCTTCTGGAGCTGCGGGGTGCTCTTGGCCTTGCTGCTGGAGCTGCTGCTGCTGCTGCCGCTGCTGCCGCTGCTGCTAGAGCCGACGTCCATGGGTCCATTCTTCTCTTCCCACATGGCCACCTGCATGTCCCTCCAACTCTTGGCCTGGTCGAGCTTGATGTACCAGGCCGTCTGGTTAAACTGGCACTTGTCTAGCGTCTCGCACGGCATGACGTGGGCCGTCTCGGGCATCAGACCCGAGGGCATGAGTTGGTAGGCCCAGACGCACCCGTCCGTCAGCTTCTTGGCCATCTCGACGTCGGCTTCGCGTTCAAAGATCCGTCCGCCGAGACCGTACATGGCTCCGATGAAGCACGTCAGGTGGGAAATCTCAAACTGTGGGCTGGGCTTGTCCTTCTCGTGGTTGTTGAACGACACCGACGCTGGGAACACAACGTCCCAGTCGTCGTCGGCCATCGGCCGGTACAGGAGCCACTCGTTGACGGCGTCGACCGAGTCCTCGTACAGCTTCTGGTACTTGGCCTCCAGGCCACCTAGCAGCAGGTATTCCTTGGGGAAGTACTCGTAAGCAGAGTCCTGGCCGCCGCCCATGGAGAAGCTCTGGTAGCCCATACCGGCTGGCACGAGGCCCTGGGGCACGCAGTCCCACTTGGACTTCTGACCGTTGGCCGCTACGGGGCCCTGCTGGTTCTGGGAGGAGAAGGAAGATGGGGGAGGATCGCTCTTTTCGGGTGCCGTCTTCTCTTCCGCGACGACGGCCCTCCTGGACAGCCTGTCATCTTCGTCGGGGATCTTGTCCTTGCCGGTGCCGGAAACGTAGCCTACGGGCTCGGTGCTGCGCAGGCTGTCATCGAGCTGCTGCTGAGCCTCCTTGCTGACATTCTCCTCGACCGTCGTCGCTGTCTTGTTGCAGCCCGAGGCGTCGATGGCCTCGGGGAAGAGGCCGGGGATGCGCGTGCCTTCGGCCTGCATGTCGACCAGGCCGTTGGTGATGCGGTCGATGGCGTCGTAGTACTTGTCCTCGCCCGTCACCTGGGACAGGCGGGTGAACTCCATGGACAGCGTTGCCAGCTCGGCGATGCCCACGCGACCGGCGCGGTGGGGCTGCGAGGCAAACTGCGGCTGCCACTGGTAGTACAGGATGGGCATGCGGTTAGGCGTGTCAAAGATGCCCATGAGGATCTCACCCAGCTCGACCGCCTTGTCCAGGAGCACCCCGTGGCCACCGGCGGCCCCGCCGCTGACGTCGTAGGCGCCCAGCAGGCCGCCCAGGTAGCGGATCGTCGTCTCGAAGACGGGGATGTCGTTGCGCGGTGTCCAGGTAAAGTCAATCTCGGCCACGGCCTCGACAGCCTCTTCGAACTCGGCCTTCAGACCGGCGATCCACAGCGTGTCTAGCGAGTCGACTAGGGTGGCACCCCAGCCACCAAAGGGGTCGCGAAACTTGCCCGACAGGGGCGACAGCTCGTCGTGCATCCATGCATTCTTCCTGTAGCCCTTCCAGCTGCGCTCAATCTCCTTCTGCACGCGCTTCAGCCTGTCTTGGCGCGTCTTCTTGGCCTTCTCCGACTCCGCGCCAAAGTTGTGCTGGATCTTGGGGATCTTGGCGGGCTTGCCGGTGGGGAGGGGAATGATGGATTCTTCGGGTAGCGGAAAGTTCTCGGGCATCTTCTCCCAGTGAATCCTTTCGCTTCCCAGCAGAGCCTTGTTGGTGGAGTCGTGCGGGGGGTTCTTCCACTGGACGTCGAGGCTCTCCTTGGGGGTAGACTCCTCGGAGGAAGGCTCCTCGAAGGAAGACTCCTTTGAGGAGGGCTCATTGGAGAAGGAGCTACTGCCGAAACCGCTGCCAGAACCGCTATCATGACTGCTGCCGGAACCGCTAACCAGATTGCTGCCGCTCTTATCCGACTTGGCCTCATCGTCCAGGTCGTTGTATGAAGAGTCCTTTCCGGACGTCGACCCCTGCGTCTTATCCTTGGAAGAGGGAGACTTGTCAACTTCAGGGGAGGCATTCAGCTCGGGGATCTTGACCTCGCTGCTGTCCTCGTCGGAACTATGGGTGGTGCTGCCGGGCTTCTTCCCCTTCTCCAGGGACTCGGTCGGGCTCGAGAGGTCGTACTTGTCATCCTTATATTCTGTCGATTGACGGTCGACATCGACGGCGGCGGCGGGAGCAGTGGCAGCGGGAGCGTGGACATTCTCGACGGCAGGCTCGTAGTCTGGCGGAGGGGGGCTTTGGCCAGCAGTCGGGGGCTTCTCGTACTCGTGGGTGTGCAGGCTGTCGTAGACAGGAGAGCTGTCATAGGAGTTTTGAAAGGCGCGATAGAGCATAAAGACGATGACGATGGCACAAAAGGTCAGCAGACGCTGACGACGGATCGGTGAAGGCATGACGTTGATGGCTTTTCGAAAGCCGGACAGGACGTCCTTCCGCGGGGAGTGTCAAGGGTAAAAGGTCCAATGAATTCAAATCAGAATGGAATCTATAAAAATGGAACAAGAACCAAAGACTAGCATCCCGCCCCTATAGATGCTTCGGCTTTTTCGATTTAAAGAGAAGAGGAGAAGTAGAAGAAGGAGAAGGAGAAGAAAAAGGAAAAAAGAAAAAAACCCCCAGTAAAGGACAACGAAACCGACGTTTCGAAATAGCTTGTCAGGAGAAGAAAAAAAGGATGGCTCAAATGCCTTCCCCCCCCCCCGACAGATAGTGGATAGAATGGAGTTGGGGGGAACTCGGTACGACGTATTATTCCATAACTCTAGCCTCCCATTATGGCCCACAATAAGGTTGATGCGAGGCTTGTTTCCTCCCTGGGTAAGCCGGGGGCTGAACAAGGGTGTACTTTGTACGGACCATGTACCTTCTCTCTCCACCTTTTGACTGAGGAGCGACGGGATGCAGCATGGCAAGGGTGAACGGCTGAGTGTGAGACAGTCGGAGTGAGATTCGGCCCGAATCATTCGGGAGAGAGACACTCTCGACTCGGGGTTCATAGATGAAGGAGAGACGATGAAGATGAAAACATGGCCATTTTGAGAATCTTGGTGTTGAACGTTTGCCAAGGTCCTTTAGCTGTGAATCCAGATATTAGTAAGGGACTTGCACGGTTGGCTTAGTCATCGCGACAGAGCATGTACCGCTCTATCATACATGGGGGACTCCCTTATCACAGACATGAGGGGGTCAGTCTTGATAGCCTCGTATTTACATCAAGACTCGGCATAAATCCAAGTATAGATGATCAGTTGAAAGACATAAATAACATGTGATATATCGAATCGATACAGACAGCAAGAGCCCATGCATAGCAAGACACAGTCCAAGAATAAACGCCGTCGCTGTAAAGACTGAAGATGTATGTAGACCAGGGAGTATATACGTCGTACAATAAATACTATTGTGGGAATAGTACGGAGTAGCCATAAGGAGACAAGATAGGGAAGATCAATCACTCCTAAATGTCCCCTTAATCTTGGCATACAGCTCAGTGTCGAAAAAGTTGTAATCGGGATCCCAGTTGCAAAAGGGATGTTGCGAGAGGAGAACGTCGGCTGTAGGGCGGTCGAACGGGTTTCTGTAATGGGTGTTAGCGTCTCTCCTCTCTCCTCTTCCTTTGCCTCCCTCTCTTGTCCTTCCTTCATCTCTTGATGATATCCTCCTCTTGATGACATCTATGAATCTACTCACACTTGGAAACAGTCCATCATGAAGGCCACAGGCAAAGGCCCGAGCGTCTCCTGTACATCCTCGGGGATAGGCGGCGTCTCCCCGTTGGCGAGCTTGTAGATGGCACCCACGGCCTCCTCTCTGCTCCACGGCCTCCGACCGGCAAACATCTCGAGTACGACGCACCCGAGACTCCAGATATCCACCTTGGCGCTGTACCCTTCCCCTTGGGACCGGATCACCTCGGGCGCCATCCAGAAGACGGAGCCCTGCATCGAGTTTGTCTTGTCGTTGCCGTAGATGTTGTCCGTCTTCTTGGAGATGCCAAAGTCCGAGATCTTGCACGTGCCGTCCAGGTCCAGCAGGATGTTGTCCGCCTTCAGATCCCGGTGAAGGATACCCTCGCGGTGCAGGTACGCCAGCCCCGACAGCGTCTGCCGCGTCAGGGACGACACCACCGACTCCTCGAACTTGCCGTGCTTGCGGAGACACGATCCGATGCTACCACCGGAAATGTACTCGAGGAAGATGCTGATGCTCGCCTCCTTGCGCTCGCAGCCTAGGTACTGCACAATGTTGACGTGGTCCAAGTGCTGCATCGTGTCAATCTCCTGGTCTAGCGCCGCCACCATCTCCCTCATCTTGGCCTTGTCGCCCGCCGCCGCTCGCGGGTTCACCTCGACTTCCTTGACCGCTAGGAATTCTCCCGTCGTCGCATTCATACCGAGGTATACGCGTCCGTACGTTCCCTTTCCGATCAGCTGGCCCTTGAACCACCGAAACGTCGTCTGCCGAGTCGGCAGCGGGCTGGTCTGCGATATGGGCATAGGAGGAGGCGCCGCCATCGTCATGCTCCCCCTCTCAGGCCGGATCTGCACGATGTTGGCGTTGAACATCTTAGTGCTCTTGCGCCGCATAATCTTGGCGTTGGCGCTGCTGTCCCTGGCCTGCCCCGTATTGGAGCTGGCCGGCAGCGGGCTCATGTTGTCCGAGAAGCGTGTGTATCGCTTGTTGGCCACCTCACGGATCGACTTCATCCGACCTAGACCCGTAGCCGCTGCCCGCCGGCTGCCACCACCCTTGTTGGACAGCGAGCCCGTCCGTCTGTCGGCCTTTAGCGTCGACTCGTCCGATCCCAGCGTGTCGCCGTCGTTGTATACGGACATCTGCCGCGCATGGTGCGAGTCCTTGGCCGCATTGTCCATTGCCGTAGACGGTATCGGCGTTGTCGGCTCCATGCCGCTGCCCGCATTACCACTGCTGCCACCATCGCCGCCGGCTTCATCGTTCTCTGGGATCGACGGCGCTATGTCGCCCTCAACCGTCTCATCCAGCACGGGTTGGTCGAGATCGAGATTGGGGAAGAAGTCGTCGAGGTTGCTGAGCAGCGCGTCTGTGGGGGGACGGTTGGCCCACACGTCCACCTCCTTGAACGACTTCCTGCGGTTGAGCTTATTCTGCGTGTCCTCGGACGAGTCGGATCGCGGCGTCCCCGGTGCCCGGCGCCCGCTGCTGGCACCGTGATCGTCGGTGCTGTGCGTCGTCGCCGCGCTAATGGGCGACATGGGCGACGTAAACGATACGGAGAGCGTCTTCTTCTTGGGCACGTCCAGCGTGAGATCTGGTCTCTTGCCACGCAGCCCGCCCGGCTTGCGGTCCATTCCAGACGCGTTCGCATCTGGCTCCTTTTCATTGCGTCTCGACGTAGGCATGATGGCAAACAGCCCATCATCTGACTCATCGTCGCTGTCGTCATCCTGTGCCGGTTCGGCTGCTGTGTTCCCTGTGCTTGAGGAGAATGAAATGTCGGGCTCGTTGAAGCCCGTATCTTCCGTGTTCCAGCTCTCGTCTCTAGACGGCTTGGTCGGCGGCGTCGGCGGCGCCGGCGGCGCCGGCGGCGACTCGGAGCCCAATTTAGCAGGAGCTGTGGCAACGTTAGCCTCGTCACGTCTCAATGACCCCACAGGGTACGACGACTGTTCACCTTGCTGCTGAGGCTTCTGCTCCGCCTGTACTCCCCGATGCGGCGAGACCCCTCTGCCACTAGCAGAGGACTGTCCGACGGCACCGAGGCTCCTGCCAACGCCGACGAGGAGGGCTCCGATCCCCTCGCTAGGTTGTGGCGGCGACATAGCTTTCTTGCCCTTCTCCGCCTCGGGCGCCGACGCGGTGCTGCTAGCCCCAGTACTGTGCCGTTCATTACTTCCGGACTTCCTCCTGAGCGAGTCCGCCTTTCTCTGCGTGACGGATGGGTCGCTAGGCGGGGCGGGTGCGCGCCTCTGGGGCAGGAAGTGGTCGACCTTCTTGTCCTCAAAGGGCGACTCACGGGGCTGATCGAAATCGACGCGTCTGCTTCCCATAATACCATAGCCTGTAACGGTAGGCTCAAGCTTGGTAGGGCTCTCCTTTCTGTTGTTGCTGTTACTGCTGCTGTTGGTGTTGTTGGTGTTATTGTTGCTGCTGCTACTGCTGCTGAGTAGGCCGCCGCCATCATTTTTCAGCTTGCGGTTCATGTAGTTACGCTGCTGCCGGTCAATCTCAGCCTTGTATTCGGTCGAGTCCTGCGCGAGGTCCTTTTCGGACACGTGCTCGCTCGTGCCCGTGTTCACGCGCGAGCTGGGGGGCGACGAGCTGGACCGCTGTCTGGCGCTGCCCGAGAGCTCCTCCAGTCCGTTCCGCGAGGCTATCGCCAAGTCGGGCGCGACGTACACGGGGGATGGCACAGGCGGGGCAGGGCGGACGAAGAACTTGAGCGAGCCGACCGTGTCGGCAAAGGCGCGTTTGGTGTTAAGAAGCTTATTATCGTCCAGCACGTCGGTGTGGTCAAAGGTACCGAGCTCTGTCTTATAGAAGGCGAAATTGGAGTAGTCGCTCAGGCCCAGATTGATGCACACATCGCGCCGGATGTCAATGGCCGTGTTGGCTCCCGTGATGTCGCACATGCGGTAATTCCAGTAATCGGTCGTGGCCAGCACGTAGATCCTTGTCGACCGGACGTGCTTGGTCGCCGACATGAAGTCGCCCTGCGGACCGGGCAGGTGCGGGTCGCTAGCCTGCGCCGCCCGGTTGGCAAACGACAACGGCGACTCCACCTCATCGGGGGAGGTCGCTTCGTCCTTGGTGCTGGGCTTCTTCTTGCGCAGGAATCCGAGGCCTAACCGGCTTTTCTGATCCTTGTGCCAGTGCGACGGCTCAGGGCCGGCAGACCGGTCGGCACTGTCGAGAGGCGACTGTCGCGTGCGCCCTTCACTGTACAGGCGGCCGGACGATGCAGAGGAAGGGAGAACATCTGGCTGTCCATCACCATAGTGCGCGGCATTGGACGCCGTGGATTCCGAGCTGAGGCGCGAGCGGTGGCCAAACCTGCTCTGGGCAGGCGAAGACGACAGGACCGGCGTTGTGAGGCTGGGACCGAGGGGACCCTGCTGCGCCGGGCTCCCATTGGGACTGTCGGTGCGCGTGCTGCGGAAAGGTCCGCTGTCACCTTGTTCGTTCGTAATGGGGGTTCCGCGACGCGCGCTCTCGGTATCGATACTCTTGAGGAAGGCCCCCGTGGCCTTGCCGTTGCCGCTATGCGACATATTGGGTGTCCTCTGCGAGTATCGTCGTTCGGTGAAGCCGGGGCCGGGGAAGCTATTTAGAGGTGTCTGGGAGGGGCTTTGTCAGTGAAGCCCATCCGGGAGTGCAAGGCAGTAGCCGTTACAAAGGGAGGGAGGGAGGGGAGGGGGGGGGGGGAGCTCACATTAGGCGACTCCGAAGGATCAGTACCAGCGCTGGGAAGAGTAGCACCGGCGTCCTTCTGTCCGCCACCGACCTTGGGGGACGGGTCACTAGCGCCAGGTCTCCTTGGAACGATGCTCCGGATGAGGCGGCGCAGCCTCCTCCCCTCGCCCCTCTCGCGCGTCTCGTCCCACTCGGTGTTGCTGTGCAAGCACTGCGACCTCAGACGCGGGTAGACGTGCTGGTGCATCATTCCGTAGCTGCCCCTGCTGGTACCAATTTCGAGGAACTGCGCGCCATGGAGGTTGAGCCCCTTGAATGTCTCCTGCCACTCCTTAGAAAACTGGTTCTTGGACAGCCATAGCAGGACGGTTTCAGGTTGCCACTGAGCAGCGATCTCGGGCGGTATAGAGCTTGCAGATGAAGCAGCCGACGCTGTGGTTGTCGTGGTATCGGAGGTGCAGGTTCCACTGCCACCAGCAGTAGCAACGGCGGCGGCGGCGGCGGCGGCGGCGCCCGCCGAAGCTCTCCCCTGGGCGTTCCCGGGCTGCAGGATGGCTGGGTGGTCCTCGAGCGGGGTGGTAGCGGTGTTGCTGCTGCTGCTGTTGTTGTTGTTGTTGCTGTTGCTGTTATTATTATTATTATTATTCATGGTGCTATCGGCGCTGACGGTCGTCTGCGAGGTATTTCCCGTGGACGATGACAGCCACGAGTTGTTGGAGCTAGCGGCCGTCGAGGATACGTCGTCGGAGGCGAAGCCTGGGAGCCCGGGGACGTCGCCGTACGTGTCGCCGGTGGGGACGTAGGTGGCGCTCATAGCCAGCGGGTTCTGAGCGTGAAACTGAGGGTTATACGGGTGGTGGCCCGAGGTGCCGACACCACCGCCACCGGGCGGAGGGGGAGGGGGGATGTTGTTGGCGAAGCCCGGGCGTGCGCCGTACGGAGGGGGCCATGACATCTGCTGCTGCGGTCCAGTCTGCTGTCCTTGTCCCTGTTGTTGAGGCAGCGGCGGAGGAGGAGGAGGAGGTGCGGGTCCTACAGGTGGAGGGGGAGGTATCACGGTCGTCGTCGTGCCAGCTTGACCAGGGACGTATCGAGGGGGAGGGGGAGGGATGTTGATCATAGGTTGCTGCTGCTGCTGCTGCTGCTGTTGCGACGACATGGGCGGCGGAGGAGGCACCTGAAAGGGCCGGGAGAGGTCGTTGCCCGAGCCATGTCTC